TACCTATCATTCTATCTGGCCGACGGTCTCTCAGCTTGGTTGACAGTTAGCTCAGATATTGAATCTACTTACAGTTCCTATCAGTGTGTTTGTCTTTCTCACAGTTGCTTTGTCATTCTATAATACCGCCCCAACAATAAGTTTTAATTTGCCTACTGTCTGTCTCTCAGTCTGTCTCTCTGTCTACAGTACCTAGCAACAGTACCTATCAGTCTGTCTGTCTGTCGATGTATCAATCACTCTTGTATGGTGACTACCTCAGTTAAACCTTGTGCTAGTTGAATCTTACCAAAGTAAACAACTATCATGCTGTGTGTATGTAATCTAACAAGAGAATTTGAGGGCTTCTGTGAATTAGGGTGCTTACTGTCTCTTAGCTTTAGTAACTTTCGTAGACGAGCAAAACAAACTTTAATCCAACCACAAAACAGCGTGATGAGTCAGTGTTGTCCGGAAGCGTACTCTGATTTCGCTAACATGTACAACATTGTTGTTTCAAGTATTTTCCGTGTGGTCGACGTCATGTTCTTATGCAATCTATAATAGACGAACTACTAGCTGCTAAACTTAGCCATGTCCACAAAACTAGCAATGCATTAATCTCATTTGAATAATTACCGACGGCAGACCATATTTCTTGGGCTTCCTTTACATTTGCCCGTTTCTCTAAGTCACTGGACTATTTCACTGTGTTGAGATTGTTGTTGATGACAGCTACTTTGTCATTATGTCTTTGCCACAACATCCAAAGTTTCGCTGTTTTCTGGTCAAGTTTTTAGCACTTATCATAGCACATCTAATCGTAATCTGATCGTAAAATGTAAAACTTGCAGTTTCAAACCAAGCATATTCTCCAGATAACTTGATTGAAAGTGGTTAGGCTGTCAAAGTGAGTCGTAATGTCATAAGCTTCTGTTATTGTGTAAGACTACCCGACTAATGCGTTTCATTATCGAAAGGAATGTGATGGGAGGAACACGAAAGTCTTCAAACACATCTTGCTTTTTTAAACACAAAAATAATTCATCATGAGTGATGTTTTTTGTTTGTTTTCATTGTGGTCTGCTTCTGGTGCAATTCTTCATGGTTTACACTACAATGATGCCACACTGTTTGTGTATGGTGGAAACCCAATCTTGGTTTACTGCTCCAAACAGAAGCATAGAAAACAACCTGCTATCTCTACAAGGAGGTTAGCATTGACTATTCATGCATTTTCATGGAACAGTATATCTCTTTGTGTCTCCTTTAAGGAGTAATCAAGTAAATTATGTAGTGGGAAACTTCTACTAATTGCGTCGCTTGGGCTTTACTCGAGAGAGTTTGAGAGAAGTTGTTGTCAAGGGAGTGGAATAAACATCAGAGCCTTCAAGGTGAGCTTGGAATTGGTTACGTAAAGGAAAACTCAAGGAAAGAAGTGAAGTTACTGGAGGGAACCTGGAGGCTTTTACAGCCAGTTTCATTCAGTCATTTTATCTTCACCTTGTATTTAATAATTCACTCTTTAGATGGCTCGGATTCAGTCATCTTTAAACTTGCTGTAGCCAATCCTTAGTCTTCTTTTCACCCCTTGACATGGCTGGACAGGATTTATCTTTCACTTCTCACATTGTTGTAACCAGAATTAGAATTAATTAACAGTGTTTGTTCAGACTGAAAATGCCTCGGGAGCAACATAGCTCAGTTGGTGATTCAGACACCCGCTGCTGTGACCTTTTTAGATATCTGTTGATCTGTTGGCCTACTTCATATATTATTGATATACATAGTGCAACCAACTCTCCAATGCCTTCAAGCTTGTAGAAATCGAGGAATTCATTCCAGGAGAAAACATGCCTGAACTGTTCAACCAATTTTGGACACGACCCATTATGATGCACGATATGTGTGCACCTCTGTCGACCTCAGTTCAGCCAATGTCAAAGTTATGGTGATGTCAACAGACAGAAGACTCGGGACACGTCAAAAAAACTTTTCTAATTTGAGCATTTTTTCCTCTCCTGATCCAAGCCGGCAAAGGCCTGTTTTTCAGATGTCTCTATATGTTTATCACAAGACTGCTCAGGCAACAGCCAGGGTCGACAATCCTAAATGCCTGCTCAATATTGACCAAAGTAAATCCTTTTGTGTGTGGCTGACACAGAGTGTGGCACAAGCTAATGATTCTTCAATAGTGACATTTAACATAATGATAGCCAATTTAAGTGAATGACCTGAAATAGAGAAGAAATGTGTTATGTAATGTGTTTCCACAATTCTCGTGACATTCATTCACAACAATAAAAATGACAAGAGTTTGTCATTACCATGTAGTTACTAGTTAAGCTAATCGTTAGCTTAGCTTCTTCTTGAAATGTTGGTTCAATTGCTTTTGGGTTGATAGCCATCTGTATGCACTATTGAAGAAGAAGAGGTGGGAGGAATGTGATTAGTTGGTTAGCTAACATATGCTTGTCACTTGTGATGAAATGTTTGGGTGGGATGTGATTGTTATACTTTACATTGGTGGCTGAATTAATTTTACCCTTGACACCTTTCTTGGCACACAGACAGTTTTTGTGAAGTGTAAAGTCGACTTATGAAGATGGTATGACAATATTTTTACTCATGGGAGTGAAACTGTTTATATAACCATGTTGAAAAATATAATGACTTGTTTGTTTTTTTTTTTCTTTCATACAAGTGAAGGCTTTCTGGGAGTTCGTGTGTCCGAGGCTCTCACCCCTGACTCAGTAAAATCGAGTGAGATCTACGCAGTAATGCACTTTACAAATAGACTTGACCTGACATGCGGCGTGAGGAGCCGCAGCCTGTCACTTAGCCTCTGTCATTTGCTAAGTGACATCAAGTCAGGACACGATGACCCTTAAAAACGCCTCTGAAGAATTTAGCCATCATCATTACTTTTTTCAGATATTTGGGAAAACAGTCATGCAGCATGCATGACTATTGTGTGAGTGTTTTGAAATCCTTTTAAAGAATGTTAAGACATTGAGGGTTTTTTTTTGTTTTGTTGTTTTTTTTTTTTCATCAAGAAACACAAACAACCTAATTGGTTTTTCGTGCTTCCCTTGGTTCATGCTTAAATTATTAAACAGCTGCTCTCTACCACACAATACTGCCTTGAAACAACTGCTTCCTTCAGTATGTATGGGAAACCAATCAAAGACATACGGAATGTATGTGGAAACAGACTTGTTTTCATGAAAAGGTTTGTGATTATAATGATTTATCATTTCGATATTTTTCAACGGATTAAAAGCCTTCCAACCAATTATTCATTTGGGACATTTACACTTAAACATACTCAGGGTTATACAATATTTTGCTCGAAGTTAAATAACTAACGTTTAGATTTGATAATATATTTCATAATTTATTTGAATTTGCAGCACACCAACTGTTAAGATGTTTGCGTTTTAGGATTCAGTGACAAATACAGGGGTGATATTCAAAGCAGTCATATGAGATTTGAAGACGTGAATATATGTGTGTGCATATTTTTGTCAGCGAGAAGATATATCTTGTCATTGATAGGCAGCTAAATGCCACACTGTAGGCACTGTCCTTACTTTGACTGATAATCACTTCCGATAGCCCTGGAAGACATTTTAACATGGCACAATTCATTCAGACATATGAGGAATTCACCACTCTTACTTTGTGGTTGAGAAAGATGTTCTTCCATGTGTTTGAAGCAACGTCTTCCTTCAGAACAATCATGACATTTTAGCTATTCTCGAATACAGAAAGTCCATGCTGTTCATGTACAATCTTCTGTACAAGCTTCTAGCCTTCAGCAACAATGCAGAGCCATATGTTAATCTTTTCCCTCAAGTAAAACCATTATCTCGGTTGTGTGACAGCTTATCAAATGAGACATTGCATTAGGAAAACAATTGACTATAAAGCATGCTGCAGGTTATTGAATCAGACAGAAATATAAGATGACATGGAGCGGCACACGCACGTTTTTCACGAAAGCAATCACGGAGTGAAGCAGAAGGATGCAATGAGCTCAGTCAGGTCTGTGTGGCATTTGAAAAGAGTTTTTGATGCCATGCTCATAAGGTGTTAAATGGTAATGAGGAGGTTTGTCAGACTTGATTTGAGAGATGAAATGTGTGTTGACCTCGTAGGTAAATCCTCCTGGAAACACACTAAGAAGATGAATGTTGACGTGAAGGACTGCAACATTTGGGTGTCGTGCTGTGTGTAGAAGGAACACAATTTTTGTTGAAGATGTCTTAATTTAGTACCGTAAAATAAGCGACTAAGCCCTGTGATTTGAACAGTGAGGCGACTTATTTGATTTTCCAGAATTTTCCAAAATCGTGTTGACTGTTCATAAAGTTTTTTTTCGGGAAGTGCTACATACCAGTAGTCAAACCAAATCCACATACATTAAAAAAAAAAAAAAAAAATCTGATTTGGATTCAGATTTCCTCAATGTGCCTAATGAGCCAAACTGGTTGATCCGTAGAAGCATTATTATTATTATTATTATTATTATTCATCCATCCATCCTATTCATTTTCTAAGATGCTTATTCTCACTAGGGTCGCGGACATGCTGGAGCCTATACCGGCCGTCTTCGGGTCCTAGGCGGTGTATGCCCTGAATCGGTTGCCAGCCAATCGTAGGGCACACATAGACAAACAACTATTCGTGCTCACACTCGCACTTAGGGACAATTTGGAGTGTTCAATCAGCCTGCCATGCATGTTTTTGGAATGTGGGAGTAAACCGGAGTATCCGGAGAAAACCCACGCAGGCACGGGGATAACATGCACACACGTGCAAACCATTCGATCACTGTGTGAAAATATTTGTCAACTTCTATATATTTTCTGCCAACTCGAACCACCCGGTAGCTGAAAATGACAGCTTCTATATTTTGTATACACAACAGGAAGTCAGTTTGTTATTGCATCCGTACAACGAAAACAGGAGGACAATTCACTTGGAGGCAGCGGGTGTTCTGCAATGGTTCTGCCCACCTTGGTAGTCACCGTGAGGAGGGGCTTCCCTTCTGATGACGCCTTACTCGGTATCTCCTTCAGGACCATGGCAACAGTCTTATCTGCAGCCCTAGAGTCTTTGCCCTACAACAGTGAAATCAACAATGACTTGTGTCAGGACAGTTCAATGCATCACCCGCATCCAGGGCGTCTTACATACAAGACTTTATCTTATGATGATGGACATACTAAGGCGTGTGAGGCTCTTTCTGTTAACAAGACATCCACAAGACTATGGCGATGAAAAGTCACTGTACAATGCGTTGACTTGAGACTGTGATAAACGTGATCATCCAGAGCAGTACTTAACACCACTATGACGGCGGGTTACCACATGGAGATAACTGACTTTGTATTGACAGATGACATTGCTTTTGCCATCGGTGTGGCTTCGTAGCACATGTGTAATATTGACAACCTCTGAATATGATAATAAGCCTCCGTGTTTGCACATCTGATTAGCCAGTGACGCTTCATACCAGAGGAAAGCAGTGCAGTAAAGAGCAAACAGCTTGTTTGGATTGCTCATTTAGGACTTGTAGTAGACACGACTGACACTAAATATTGGCTCAATAAACAAGATCTCCCATGAATCAGTACAGTAACAAACTGCAATTCTTAAAGGAGTATACCTGATTCATAATCAAGCTACAATACAATGATGTACAAATCATCATTTTACAATAACCTGAGGTGCGCCCCCGAGAAGGATGCAAGCTTATCCAGTGAGAAGGGATTAGTTCAGCCTTCATCACGAAGGGCTGAAATCTTTGTCCCTGGTGTATTACTTTCACTTCCTCCCTGTAAGACTGAATAACAGATGGAGACAACTTTGCTACTACCTAAAGTATCAACAAGATCACTTTGGGCTGTTTACGTTTACATAATAATGCATATTTAACATGTCATCTATTTTTTATTTTTGTTGTTGTCAATACATAGTAGTTTGTCCTCGTAGGGTGGCGATTAAGTGGTGCCTATTCCAAATGAACTAGTTCCAGAGATAGTTATAGACAAACATTCCCATTCATATTCAGACTTATGGCTAATTTACCGTCAAGTAGTATTGATTTATGAAATTAATTAATTAATTGCTGCTTTGGGTGTAATTTACTTGCATGTGCATGTTTCTCTCCAGAGGCACGATGCCATCTGCCTCCAGAGGACATGGTTTGCATATTAAAATTTTTGGGGGGAGGCCTACGAGGCAGTTATGATAAAGCTCTTTAAAATCTGCCAAGCAACATGTGACATAACCAGGAAAAAAAATCATCCAGACATTCTATTGATTTACATGAATGATGTATAGTCAGTGTCGTTCAAAAACCGTGATTCTCGAACTAGGGTACGCACACTCCCTCTAGTGGTACACAAACGGATTGCCGCCGGGGTACAATTCAGTTGTATTTAACTTTTAACTTCAATACATTTGCATCTATATTGAAAAAGTTTGTTTTCAAATATTTATTTAGGTACCATTTGTTATGTTTTCGTTACGTGAGATTTGGTTTTGTTCCCTCATATGCCCTTTTTGTCTCCACCTGTTCTCGTCATCCGGGGGGCCCTTGTGCTGAACCAATCAGCTCCCTCAACCTTTGTGTCTTGTCCAGGTGTTTCTCGTTGTCTCGTCACTTTGCTTGTATTTGGTTCCTTGCATTCTGCCAGTCGTAGGTGGATCATTGTGACTGTCTGTGTGCCCTCTGTCATGTTTTGTTTTTGTCGGTTTTTTTTTTGTTTGTTTGTTATTTTGGTTTCTTGTGGTTTTCGGGACTTTGTTCGAGTATTTGAGTTAGTTTCTCCATTGTACCCTGCAAATGTTTTTTCTTGTTAATACATTTTGTTCAGCCCATCTTGCTCCTCCTGCCTCCCCTCTTTTTGGGGTCCTCCACCTAACATCACCCAAAACATGACACCATTTTCATTTTACTTTTATGTGCAATGCAATTAATTGCATCATTTTTTTTTCTTTTCGGCTTTTTGTTTGTTTCTTTGGATTCTTGTTGTTTTTAGGACTTTGTTCTGGATTAAGTTTTCTCAGTGTTTTGTTAATACAGTTTGTCAAGTTCCCCCTGCTCCTCCGTCTTGCCTGCTTTTTGGGGTCCGCTACCACCACCGTTCGGGACAGAGGGAGGACTACCTCACTCCAAAATGAAGTGCATTATCAAGCCAAGATCAAATCAAGGCATGGATCACTGTAACTGCTGTTGTGAAAGGAGAGGATTTACTTAAGCCAGCTGGCCAACATTGATTAAATAAAATAAAACATGAATAAATAATTGATTGAATGAATGAATGCTGGATTTAAGAACAGCAGTAATTTGTCAGCTGTTGGCTTTAGAATAGACACCAAGAGGGCCAAATCAACCAGGCCACTGGGACAAAACACCATAACTTCTGTTTTCTTGCCATTGAAATTCAAGAAGTTTAGTGCCATCCAGGCTTTGATTTCCCCTTAAGGAGAAAGTATCCTTTTTACTTTGCGAGACATTGATCATAGTAGTGAAAGATTTTAGGGCAGTGTTAACGTTCAAACTGTGCCTAATGTTATAGTGTCTTACGATAAGATTAAATATGCTTTTGGTGTCACACTATTTTTCCAAAAATAGAGAATAGGAAGAAAATAAAGCAAACGCCAATGATACATCCCCAATACGTACCGGTTAGTCAGATGTTTGAACAAACATCACATGACAAACAAAGTATACTTAAAGTATTGCGCAGCTGAAGTCTATTCAAATTCAAAGCACCATCTCATTGACTTTTACATATGTGAAAAGCTTGTCTCTTGAGCTACGCGCTGCACGGAAGATGAAGCTTCATCGTGATTTATTCATACAACCTCTGCGAGACACAGTCAGGCGCAGCTGCAGTTGTCTGCTCGCTGCACAGTACTGTATTTATAAATTTTCTTGTCCATGTCCCTGTGATCAATGTCCCATCTGTGCAAAAGCTTGCCTGTCACTCTTTGTGACCTCACTCTCTGAAGCCAAGAGCGACTGCAAGAGGTGACGGTTGAGAGTACGCGGAGAGGCATCAAAACGGACACACTGCATTATCCCAGCATCAGATGAAGCATAAGAAAAACATTTGTTCACACTTGTTTTCATGACCAACATCTTCAGTCATATTTTTTAATTACGTGCTCACATTCATGCATCCCACTTTTATACATCAATGGTGGGTGGTGGGAGGAAACAGGGCTATCAGAACCATTGACATTTCCAACTTGTAAATGTTTAATTTGTTCCATGAAAGTGTTCCCAACGTGTTTCTCCTGGCTCCACTGCTCACATGATTTAATGTACTTTAATGTCTTTTTTTTTGGTAATAAGTGTTAAAAGAACTGAAGCATTAATGCAATAATCAGGATGTCTACGGAACCTTAAAACGTCTTATATAGAGATTTCACAAAATTAAGGTCTGAACATCCATCCATCCATCCATCCACCCATTTTCTGATCCGCTTTATTCTCACAAGGGTCGCGGGGCATGCTGGAGCCTATCCCAGCTGTCGTCGGGCTGCAGGCGGGGGACACCCGGAACCGGTTGCCAGCCAATCGCAGGGTACACATAGACGAACAACCATTCGCGCTCACATTCACACCTAAGGACAATTTGGAGTGTTCAATCAGCCTGCCATACATGTTTTTGGAATGTGGGAGGAAACCGGAGTACCCGGAGAAAACCCACGCAGACCCGGGGAGAACATGCAAACTCCACATAGGGAGGCCAGAGCTAGATTTAAACCTCTGCACTGTGAGATCGACGCGCTAACCACTGGACCACTGGGCCGCCCAGTTCTGAACATAAATCCTTAAAACTTGCTGTTCAAAAGTGCATGTAGCAGCCAGCCGGTCAGCGGCTCGCTACCTCGACACTCAAACTAGAAGCAATTTTTAGCAGTCAACTCCAAAAAGCCAGCGAAAAAGCAAAACAAACATAGTTCATCATTGGATGCTGACTTAACTTTTTCTCTCTCTGTCACCATGATTATTTGCCCACTTGAAATTGCATTTGAGTCTCTGTACAAAGGTACAAAAATGACTAAAAGATAAATTCCCTGTAGGTTTCACAAAGATTCTTCTTATCCCAGCAGACAGAAGGCTCGAAGAGTAGGACTCACATAGTCACACATTACGGCGGGAGTGTTTCCAATTACATGCACACTCTCACTGTGAGAATCTCATACAGTAGAACAGCCAATAATTCACTTCCAGCAGGGTTTCAGGATAAGCCTTGCTGGTATTTATAAATGTTATGTTAATTTTACTGCAGTCAGTTCATTTCCACTGAAACCTCTAATGAGATGTTTTTTTTCTTCCTCAGTGTGACATTTCCTGCCACTGTTTATTGCCTTTCATGAACTTGACGGGGACTGCGTCTTCTAATGAATGGAGAATCTTGGCGGCACGCGTAATGTGGGAGTGAAAATTACACCCTGACCTGGTGTTGAGGAGTAATAAAATGAGAAGTTGAGGCATTGGCGGCACCGCTCATACATCACTGTCACGAAGGGATAGCCCGTGCTGAGACGAGCTTCGAAGGAGGCTGGCCCCAAAGACAAAGTGATTTCTTTGCCAATCATCGCAAACACCAATCATGTGTCCTACCAGCCTGCTGTAATTGCTCACTAAACCGAGTGTATGCATCTGGGCTCCGCTGGATACAATTTCATACTAGCTCATGTTGACTGAATGCAATACGTTGGCAGCCTGTGAAAAGCTCACATTATTCATGATCCAACCTGTTTTTGTCATGAGGCAACATTCTTTCGTACTTAAGGCACAAATGACCTGATTTCATTGCAACCGTTTCATTGTGATCATTCCATCGGTGCGCATAATTGCAAGCGTGACTCACAGAACGGCGGGTTCATTGTTCTTCCTTAATCAGTTCCTTTTGAATCTTATTTAATCTGTAACAAAAGTGCAACTCGGGCCACTGAACTAATTAGAGACTTCCGAGGTGGCGGAAAAGTTGTCTTCTGCTAAATTGTCTCCCCTGTGCATTGCTTTGTATACTAACCCCTGAACCAGAATGTTCAAAAAAAATAGTGATCTGGACTCGACTCATTTACTTGTGAA